GGATGATTCTCAAACACAGAGTTAAAGGAAGAAGGCATACTGCATCATGCCACTTATATAAATTTGGAAAATATAAAAGCTCAATTAAATAAACTCCCTATGCATTTATGCATAACAAGCATAGTATGAAAACATGAATGAATAATAAGTATGAAATTCAGTACCGTGGTTACCTTTAGGGAGGAAAAGAGGGTGCACAGGGGCTCCATCTCTACTTGAAATGTGTTATTTTTAAAATCTGAAGCAAATGTGGAAAATATTAAGATCTGTTATGCTTGGTGGTAGATGCAGGGTATTTTATTTGAGATACTACTCTGCATATATTTCTGCATGTTGAGATATTTCAAGATAAACAAAGAGAAGTCAACTCTGTGACTACTGAGGCTTACAAGGACTGGTGAAGGAATTAATAGTTTCATTGTCTCTTGAAAAGAAAATGCAAACTATTTCACTCTCCAAGAAGTGAATTTCTTCTTTAGGAGTCATTTATTCTTTAGCTATTTGAATACACTTTAGCTCTTTCCATAAAAGATTTGAGGTAGCTTGAAAAAAAGAAGACACCTACAATGAGTAAGGAAAACATAAGGAGAAAATCAGGATCAAAGATAACAAATATTCCATTAATACTGGTGGACCACAGTTGCTGAGATCAAATTTCAAACTTGGCTCTGAAATTCTTGGCAATAGTAACCACATCATCTCTAGCTGACCCGTAAAAGCAGGTTAGAAAAACTAATCTTTGTTCTTTATGGCTTAAACCTAATGTTTTCCTGAACAGTCTCTATTCTATTTTGTATTTTACCTTACTAACTAGCCAGGTCTCTCCTTCTTCTTCCACCCTTCCCTCTCTTGTTCCCTCCTTTCTTTTCTTTCCTTCCTTCTTTCCCTTTTCCCTTTTTTCTTTCTTCCCCACCCCTTCAAGAATATCTTATTAAACAATCTGGAACCTGAGAGAATCAAGCCCAGATTTTGCCAAAGAAAAGATGACCAGGTCATGTTTTTATCTATCCACAGACTATTAATAGAAGCATGGCACAAAAATGTGGAAAGACATAAGCGAATTATTATTTATTCTATGGATAAGCTTAATCACAATGAAAGAAATCATAAAGAAAAACAATGAAAGATTTGACCACATGAAAAAACTTAAATAAAACTAAAAGGCATATAAACTATAAATATCATTTAACCAGTGACCATTTTGTTCTCTTAAAAATAATATAACAAGAACTCCAAATAATAATAATAATAATTACTGTTATTATTATCATCATTATTTATGGTACTGGGAATGAAACCCAGGGCCTCACACATGCTAAGCAAGTGCTTTACCACCTAGCTATATCCTCAGTCTGATGACTCCAAATTTTATAATCTAGCCCAGCCCACACTTCTCAACTCTCAACTCCTATATCTACACCTGCTAAACACCTGTGCTTGGATATTTAATAACCATATTGAAATCAATAAGTACAAGRCAGACTCCCTGATCTTTTTCCTCAAAGATACTCCATTCATGCTCCCGTCTTACTTGATAATAACTCAATCTTTTTAGTTGTCTAAGCTCAAAACCAAAGYGCTATTATTCACTCCTATCTCTTATATCCCACATAGTCTATCAGGAAATCTTGTTGGTTCTGCCTCTAAAGAAAACCCCAGATCCCATCACCTCTTGACACTTTAGCTGCTACCACCTTGATCTGAGTCAATATATCTTTTGCCTATATCAGTTTAATACCCTTCTCCCTGGCCTCCCTAATTTGATACTTGCTCTTACCCCTTCTTCATTTTGATTTTCTCTCTCTCTCTCTCTCTCTCTCTCTCTCTCTCTCTCTCTCTCTCTCTCTCTCTCTCTCTCTCTCTCTCTCTCTCTCTCTCTCTCTCTCTCTCTCTCTCACACACACACACACACACACACACATACACACATAATACATATTTCCCTTCTCTGGAAATCCCAAGTAGAAAGAGCATGTTCCATAAGGCAGTCCTATAAGTCCTATATTATGTGTGTATATATATTTCCCAAATATAGTGCTGTCCATCTATTTATATGCATTTTACCTTAATATTTATACTGTACTTTATGTTCTTCAATGTGCTGTACATGTAGGCACGTTTGTGAAATTCTCATCTTCCATTTGCTATCCTACAGTGTAATAGCAAAACATGAAAACAGATTAGGAAAGACAATAGGTATCATAATTTTCCCCCAATGTCAAATCCTTAAGACTAACAGAGAATTCGGTCTCTGTTCACTATTTATTGACTGAAATATCCTTGATGAGTTATTTAACACTCTGTCTCAGTTTTCTAATGCTCAAATAGGGGTAACTAGCATGCATATATTACAGTGTTAGGAGACTAAATGTGATGACGCACATAAGGAGCTTATAATAGTGTAAGACACTGCTCAACGAATCTTTGTTGTTATGGTTATTATTATTAAAGCATGGAGAATATGTATCCCAGTGTACTCTCTGCTCTGATCAGTAACAGATAAGSAGCATGGCAGGGCTGTACTGGCTCACATGCCAGGACTTCAGTGGAGTGAAGTGGGGAGCTGATACCATCCTCAGATTAAGTAGCACAGTTAACTAGCCATAGATCCAACAGTATTCTTGGTACCAGCCCAGATCCAGCACTTACCATCTAATTGCTGAACTATAATGTGGGAATATTATATCCCTGACTGGGGGATACTAGATGCTTCTACTTTTGAGAAAGCCACAATACTCTGTTTCTGCTTGAGATTRCTTTTGCAAACAAAGCAGAATTTCAGCACACCCTAGAACCTCTTCCTCTTCTCTGGAAATCCCAAGTAGAAAGGGCATGTTCCATGGATCATCACTCACTCATAATATAGGACAGTCCCTTAATACCAGATCTAATTGACCCAGGTCCTCCTGCTCATTTCATCTGGGGATTTATCCTCACCTAGGAACTCCAACAAGCAAACTGAGTTTGGAGGATAGAACTGGATGGGAGGACACAGCCACTGGGAGTTTAGGACCAGACAAAATAAGGATCCAAAGTAGAAATCAGTATGGAGAAGGGGAAGCAAAGAGTAAGAAACTTAGGTACAAAAAAGGAGAGGCCAAAGTGAAGAATAGGGAGGCTTGGTTTCCCAAACAAGTCAGAAACCCTATTTCTAGGCCTGAAGCAGGTGTCCGTGGAGCCTGCAGTGGGCGAGCAGGTTTACTACCAACTCAACCACTGCTGTGACCTTGGGTCCCTCAAGTTCTCAGAAGAACTGGTGAGGGCTAAAGAACAGATCAGGAATGGGAGGATTAGGYGAGGAGAGGAAAGAAGCTGGATAGGTTGTTTATTTAACAGCCAGGCTATCCACCTGCAAATCCCAGAGCCAGGAATAGCTCCCCACATTCCTGAAGAGGCACAGGTTCTTTTATTTTCCTATGTAGTTTAAGTACATGAAGAGGTTAGTCTTAGTTTTTCTTTCCACATCACCCTCAAGCAGGGATCTCATTTCTATACCAAAGAAGGTTTAAAACCCTATGAGAGATCATGAGTTACCAGCCAGATGAGAAATGGTCCTTGTTCCAATTTGGAGAGGCTGAGGGATCATCAAGCATCTATGACACAAAATTTATGGTTCAACTGGTGTCCCAAACAGTTAAGAATAACAGCTCCATTTATTGGTTGTATGCTGAGTGCCAGGCATTGTGAGAAATGCTTTGCATGCACTATCTCCTGTGGTCCTCACGACAATCTTAAGAAGCAAGTACTATTATGATAAAACTGAGAATTAGATGGGTTATAAATTAGTAAGCTGGTAGTTTAGTGCCAAAATGTTAATCCATGACAGTGTGACTTAAAGACAATGTTCAGAAAAATTGTTTCACCTACTAAATTTGAGCACTCCTTCTAGGAGAGGGGAACTTAGATCTATCTTAAGGATGTGGCTCCTTCTTGGGTTTGCAACAGCAATATACCCAGTGTTCTTCCAAGCATCTATGTATGATTTTGCTGTCTTGCATCTTCTAGTTTTCACACAGCCTAGTGGTCTGTTGACATGATGGCTGCTGGGAAAAATCTGAGCAAAGTGGAGAATTCCTATTTATTGACCTGTAAGATTATTTTTTCTGAAATTGTTTGTACCATCTCCAGCTCTGGAAAAAGGCTGCTGCTGAGAGCCATAGCCAAGTAGGAATGATGCATGGCATTTTTGGTTGAAAGGTGATGCCAGCAAGCCATTGAGATGATAATGATTATGTTAAGATGTGCATTCAATTGGAGATTAGACCCCTGCTGTCTGCCTCAGCCTGCTACTTTGGAGCTCTCCCGGGACTCCYGGAGAGTTCCCATTGGTTGGGGAAGTGCGGTAGGAGGGAATTCCGGAGGAGGGATTTCCTGTTGGTGTAGTGTGTCCCAGGMGAAGGCCGAGTGCATGGCATTCGAGGGAGTTTTGGAAATAAAGTTTGTTCCTGYTTGAGTGGCTCGTGATTTTGTGCCTAGCCAGACTGCGGCAGGCTGCAACCCCCTGTTCACTAGCATGAATGAGCCCCAAGCCCTGCTCACATCTTGATTATCTGTTTGATTTTCCAGCGGAATTTTAAAAATTAGAAACTTTCACCCTTATATCCTTATTACCTCCAAGATACAGGTACACATACATGCCTATAAAAAGAGCCTCATGGCAGTCAATAAGAAGGAATCAACTCTCATCAAAGCAGACTTACTGATTTGTGACTGCATTTTACATTCACTCAGGATCCTTTTAAGATCAAGCATTTTCTTTCTATCCTAGTATTAATTTATTTTAATATACTCTGCCCATAGGGACTCCCAGGTCTCCCTGTTGTGCCCTGAAAATACATCCCTAGAAGAATGGGGCCTCCTCCCACATAGGTGAACAGCAGGGATCCTACCCAACAAAAGCAGAACATAAAAATACATCAAATATGACAATACTGACTGGACTAAAGAGGCAAAAAAATTTTTTTTAACTAATGTATTAAGTTTATTCTTCACTCATAAAAAAGAACATATTTTTGGCTTTGAAATCATGACATAAAATAAAAAGGCAAACAAATGAAAACCATCAGCTGAAAGTAGGTAGAAGCAACTCATGCTGACCCATCAGCAAATGCCATGTGCTTTGGGCTATAGCGGGGGCTCTGATCAGAGCAAGAACGGAAGATGCATTGCCAACCTAACATCCAAGCATCTGGTCAACACATATATGAATTGAATCCTCCCTTCTTCCTGCTTTCCTTCTTAATCTTTAACTTTGAGAACAATAGGCAATAACGTTTGATGCTACTCTTCCTAGTTTGTAGGATAATGTTGTTTTAACATATTTAATCTGCATATTTTCAACCTTTAAAAAAAAGTAAAACTGCCAAAATCAACAGTAACTAAAAGCCCTCTCTATTTTTGGTCAGTTATCTGCTGTAGGCAGAGCTTCATATAGGAATTTTTATTGCGGATTTCTATGACTGCATCCCTAACAAGCTCAATGAACATCTGCGGCCAAAGCTTCTGCAAAGCTTCATTTTTCATATTGATTTCTGTGGCTTCCTTCACAAGGTCTTCTATATACATTTTGCAGAATTTCTTTTTCTCCTTTATTTCCTGTTAAAAAAAGAAAAAAATGTTTTTAAAATCATAACCAATCCAAAAGCCAAAGCAGTGATTAGCTGAACCAGAGAAACCTGAAATAATCTATTTTGATCCCTTAATCCCTTTCCCACACACAATATCATACACACACACACACACACACACACACATATATTTAACTGTAATCACTAGATCGTTACACTATTTCTCCTATCTCAGTGGTGGCTTAGCTCACACAAGTCAGCTGAATGCACACAGTCTCATGGCTTTCAGTGGCTAATGTGGCAGGGTACAGGCACTGACAATTTTGTTGGTGTTTATTTAGTTAATATCCACATATTTTAAATAGTTATACTCTGAATTTACTCTCTAGGTTAGGAAAGCATATAGTGGAATATTACATTGAAATATGTGGCCTTGATCTTTGGATAAAGTTGGAGAAGAGTGTACAAAGAGGAAAAGAATATATATAAGCTCAGGACCTGAAGGTAGCCTTCTAAATAAATAGTGTTCCCTTCCCTCTCAACTTCTGAGTCTAGCAGTCTACAAATGAAAAACCTAGTTCTAAACATGACAGAGGAATTTTTGGGCCAGAAGATATTTGGGAATTAGGCCCCAATTTCATCACAGAGTCTAAAAGAAAGCCATTTTATTAGGGCTAGAGGTATAACTCAGCGGTAGAGGGCTTGCCTAGCATACATGAGGCCCTGGGATCCACCCCCAGCAAAACCAAACACACACACACACACACACACACACACACTTGAATTTAAGAATTCAACATTTATTTTGACTATTGATACTGCTGGAGAGTGTCAAGGCTTGATTATGAAAAATGTCATAATATATATAGAAAATCAATATAATATCACATAATCAGAATTATAGAGAACTAATTCATGTCAATGAAGAAGGATGGAAATAATAGATGTTGATAATAGATTTAGGAAAAAGATCCACTACTTAGAACCAACTTAAAATCAAAATACCAAAATAATATCAAGGTTAATTAAAAAGCTAAATTTAGAATATTATAAATATTGTCATTAAAATTATGAAGATTTTTAATTTGAAAAATGCTTATATTATAATAYTAAGTACAAAAAGAAAAACTGAAATTTTGATAGGGATTGGATTACATGAGTATGTGCATTTGTCAAAATTCAACAATAGTATACYTAAGGTTTATATTTCAGTATATAAATTTCATTTCAAATTAAGAAACGATATCAAATATTAAACTCTAATCAATGATATGCATGCTGAATTATTTAGGAAGAAGCATATGAATGTCTACAATTATTCTGAAATGATTTTTAAAAACAATATGAACAGATGGATGGATAGAGGGATGGGAGATTCATCAATGAAACAAGTAAACGAAACTGGATAGTATAATGTTAATGGTAAAACATAGGYTTGGGTGTATGAGTATTTACCATTAAATTCAACTTGGCTGTACATTTGAAATTTTTAGTAAAAAATTGGGAAATAATACATAGAAAAATATTGAAAAAAATGTACTGAAGTATCAGTAAGAGAGTCTTCAGGTATTTTTTCCTCTTTTTTCTATTTTTCTTATTTTTTAAAATTCTTACCATTTTTACAACAAAATGTTTTTTTAAAAAATTCTTCATTAATTAATATAAAATTAGTAGATCCAAATTGCACTTTCCTAGGAGAGGCAAATTGTAGAAATTTTCTTTTGTCATGTAAGACATCTTAAAATAATTTCAGCATTGAGGGGTTAACATACTGATGTGATATTGTTCATGGGCTAAAGCAACAGATCATGAACTGACCTATCCTAAAAACATGCACAAGATTTTGATAGATTATAAACAATAATGGGTCCAGCTGGCTGCTTCTTTGATGAGTCTAACTTAGCTCTGACTCTGAAACACAGTCTGGAACTCAGTCACCTGCACTAAGTTAGCTTGATGAAAACAGCATGAGCTGAGCTACATAGGAACCAGCAGCATGAAGGCCAAGTGTGATTCACTAGAGATCAGTAACCAAAAGAGCGATATTTTATAACAAGCAATGCATTTACACAAGTAGAAGGTACAGAACCTATTTAGTAAATGCTCTCAAATACATTTCCAAATTTCTTATTATAGATTTTGAATTTAAAAAAATAAAGACAAAGTTCCATCATTAAGACTAGACAAAATTTTATAACAGTTTAGAGATAACAAAAATAAAAAATTTTAAATGTTGCATTTTGTCATATCACTTACACATAATACAAATTAAAATTAACTTTTGGCAATTGACATAAATACAATTTTTGGTGTTTTAAAATTTCCTGCTATAGTTGCTTCTATTGTTCCCCTACRACATGTTGAAACAGAATTATATTTGTTATAATAGCCCTTAATTTAGCAATTGTGTTTGAAAGAATTTTTATTTCTTCATTTCTTCCCTCCTCCAAGCCAGTTACTCTGTGTGCCTGTGAAAGCTCATCAGGTATCTGCCAGGATAACTCACTCTGCCTGTCCAAATGATCCTGTGAAGAACACATAATAGATAGCTTTCTTCCCTGACCCATCAAGGAGTTCTTTCTCTTTGAATTAGTCTTTTCTTTCTCAAATGCATTGATATACTTATTTCTTTTTATCCCATAATATTCCTGGGGTTCATAAAGCAAGTATTTTGCAAGTTCAATCCTGATGAGATGAACTCTATACAATATTATTTATGCTATTTCATGGAACTAGAAATGTGTTGTTACAAAGATGGTTGGGGAGGGCAGGGGATGTGGCTCAAGCGGTAGCGCGCTTGCCTGGCATGCCCAGGGTGCTGGGTTCGATCCTCAGCACCACATAAAAATAAAATAAAGATGTTGTGTCCACCGAAAACTAAAAAATAAATATTTTTTTTKKWAMAAAAAAGATGGTTGGGGAAAACGTCAATGGAGGGATTTGTTATAGAGTAATTTTAACTACCATTATAGTTGTATTATTTGTATTAGAATTTAATCTGTATCTCCATTTTACAAATGRGAAACAAGGTCAATAAGGTTGAGACAATTTCTCAGGATTAGACATCATGCATTAAAACTTCCCTAGAGAAAGAATTGGCAGTCTAGTTGGGAGACGGCCTACATATATAAACAGCTAACTAAAAAATAAAACAGTAATTTAAGTGCTGAATGAAATGGTCATCCATTAAATATAATCAGTACTCTGAAAAACAAAAAGCATTCTTTTCATTGGATGGTCAAGAAGTCACCACAATATATTGTAAAATAATCCATGATCAGAAATCAGAAGGTCTCAGTTCTAGAGGCAGATCAGTCAAATGTTTACCTGTGACCCTGAATAATTCACTTGTTTCCAGTTTTCCTTATCTAAGAACAGAGCCAGATTCTTTAAAGTCCTTTTCAGCATTCTAGGTCCATCTTGAATCTTTTGTAGGTGAGTCAAGAGAATGGATGGACAACTACCAAGTGACAGAACTTTGCCAGGAACAATGAAAGGGTCTACTTAACCTGTTTTGTGAGAAACTCACCTGAACTTATTTTCTCAACAACTCAGTATGTACAGAGAAGAGAGACTGAGGACTTTATGCTGTAGTGACTTAAGTATTTTTCAAGATGTGGGGAGCGTGGTGTAAGTGAAGGAATGCTGGCCTGTGAGTTAAAAGAGAGTGATTAAGGGACTTGGGCAAGGTCTCTCAGGTAATAAGTGGTAATCAGGGGCTCAAGTCCAAGTCTCCTGACAGTAAGCCTAGTGTTCTTTTCAAAATACTATGTGGCTTCAGATTTCTTCTTTTCCCTTTGAATTTCCTCAAAACAGGAGTCAATAYTCCCTGTCTTTACCTCTTCATTGCTTATTTTTTGATCAAACCACTTTAATCAAGACTTTGCTTATATGACTCCACTGCAGTTATTTATATTTAAAAATAATCTCAATGACCTTGTCTGCTAAATTTATCAAATTTTTCCTTTACAGTTTGTGCACTTGGAGTATTAAAAAAATCATAACCTATGCAACCAAGGTCATACAAATTGTCTCCTATTTTTAAAATAAGAACTTTAAAGTTTTGCTTTTTGTACTTGGGTTTTTATTTGATCTGGAGTTAATTTCTTGTAGTATAGTGTGAATGTTTTCAATATGTTGTTCTGATTGGAGATCCCATTTCTTATAAACAGACTGTTGTCAGTAGTTTATAATGCCTACTACGTGCATACATTTGCCTCACCAGTATGGCATACTCTGGCCCTCTGTTTTGTTCATGAGTCTATTTGTTTATCCCTATATTGTTTTAATTACCATCACTTTATAATAATGATTGATGTCTGCTAAGGCAATTTATTCCTGCTTTCCTCTGGAGTATGATAGTTCCTTTGCTCTATCAGATAACTTTTAGGATCAGGTGGTGAAGTTCCACAAGAACCACATTCACACTTGAATTAGAACTGGCATATATTTATAAATGAAGTTAGGAAGAGTTAACATCTTTTTAATGTAGAACATTTCTGTACATTAACAAACYATTTAGTTTTTCCCTAGTGACTTTCAACTAGAAAGTCATAATTTCCCCAATAAAGGGCTTATATATATTTTATTACCCACTCCTCAGTATTTGTTGTTATAGTTAATGGTATCTTATTTTAAATTTACTTTTGAATAGACAATATAACAATTATTAGGCTGTTGGCCCTTTATATTTTTGATTTCTAAAACCTCTTTGTAATTTAGGGATATGAGTTGCAAACTATTTTTCCAGTTTGTCATTTGTCTTTACTTATTTGATCCTCATGAAGACATTTCTCATGGATTTTTCTAGAATTTTCATGCTTTTACTTTAAACTTTAAAATCTCTGACCAATTTGGAATTTCAATTGATATAAGATGGTATGTCTGAATCCAGTTTTTTTTTTTCAGATAGTTCTTCAGTTATCCCCAAAYCATTAGTAGATAGTCCCCTTGACTTATTTGAAATTGCTCCCTAATTATATGATGTAATCTTCTATATTTGGAAATAAACCTGAATTTTTCTTTCTA